TCCTTGGAAATGCCTTTTAAAATTAAAAACAGTAAAAAACCACATGTTCCTTCCAATTCTTTATTTCAAATGATAATGTCATATTCCCTAAAACAGCAGGAGTGGATTTTTATTAAAATTACAGGAAAAAACTTTTTGACAGGCAACTTCAAAATTCTATAGGTTAGATTCAATTGTACATCAGCAAAGGAGGGGAATACTCTGGACTGAACACTACTGGATTGACAGAGGGATGTAATTTCAACTCGCAGAGCCTGATATTCTTCCCAGTGGAGTCAAGCAAAAAAAATTCCCCTTGATTTCAAAGTGGAACCAAAATAAGTGCTTAGTTTTAAATGGAGTTGCCAAGTGGCAAGTCTATCAGACAGTCCATATGGGAGACACCTTTTAACTTTAGAAAATTAAGAGTTTTACTGTATCTAAAAGTCATATGTATTGAAATTAACTCAGTGCATGCCTGAGCTCTGCTGCTAACTGCATGAGTCTGAAGTATACTGAAGTTACATTGCTTGTATATATTACACAATTTATGTTTCTATGTATAGCACGTACTACACCGCACTGTGTTACATTGAGAAATTACTGAAATTACAAAAGCACCATCTCAAAACTTAGGAAATGCTGTAAGTAAGGTAACCCATGTGACTAATTCAGCTTCCCTATGAATATGCATCAAAAATGGGCTCCAATGACATGATCACATATGATACTTCTGGGAAGGCCTTTCTCTTTCCATTCACTGAATGAACAGTACCTGACTGAGATTCCTCTAGTGGCTTATTTTACCTTGCTGCTCTACACATGGCTCCATCCCCTATTTCCCAAATAATATTCACACCTCATTCTGAAGACTAAGTATGAGTTTCCTTAGGAGGGTTTGAGGGTTTTTTTTTAAACCTTAATAAAGCAATGTCTGAAAGCTCTATTTATTTCAAGTTTATATTCGCAACATTCCAGCAAAATGAGCTAGGTTTATTTTTCCCCTTTTGCAGCTGATAGATTACAAGTGTTGTTTAATTTGTGTGATCTACTTAAAGAAATGAATACCTGATTTTTTTTTTTTCCAGAGAACTTCACATTTTGTACCATTTTCTCTATTCAAAGCAGAATGTCCATAACCTTCAGTGAAAACTATGAATGGCCAGCACTTTTTTCAGAATAAGTCCTGGGTTTAAACTCAAGCCTACACAAAACGGGAAGCACACCCTTCATACAAATCATTTATTTCGTGTGGCTTATATTGCATAGAAGAACTTGGGTACAGGCAGCGACAGAGTCGAGTTCTCTGAGCACCACTCTGCAGGCTGAGCGAGACCCTTACTTGATCTTTACGCTGCCTTTCTTTCTCACTGTGCAGAGTACAACTGCCGCTGCAAAAGAAGTAAGGATTGTACAGACCACACCTTCCCTGAAAGACCTTAGTTGACAAGGAGACCGCTGTATATCCTGTGCACTGAATCAGGCAGGGAAGTGCTGGAAAAACAGTTATGTGACCATGTATCATGATGTGCCTTGATATATTAGTTACACAGGTAACTTTAATTCTGAAATTTCCTAAATTTTTTTTACTGAATGGTCAATCTTAGCATTCTTTAATATAGCTTTTTTTGTTGTGTGCAACTTCCTAAATCAATTCCCTCTTCCCTCCCCAAGAAAAAAACAGATAATAGAACATATGGAGCAGTACCGACACCCACAGTGCTGCCTCACAGAGCCTGCATTACAGCATCTCCTTCAGCCCCAAAATCTACAGTTCATCAACAGAGTTAACTTTTCAACTGCCATATCAGACCTTTGACCATCAAGCAAAGAAAGTAATTTCTAATGAGAGAAACAAACGTTGCTGTCCTCGCCACCAGAAGAACTTAAGTTACCCATTTTGTGCCTGCTCATTATGGCTATTTAGTAACAGCAAAAGGACACGGACGCTTTGGAAGCCCAAGGTATAACCAGGGGCTGGAGGAACAGGCTTTCATAGTCACAGGGCTTTCTGCCCTCGCCCTTTTCTGATCTTTGTCCCCATGTGTTCCTCCCCGACCATCTCTGACCTCCACCTTGCTGTAGCTGCCAGGCCCAACTTCAAACTTGTGTTCCAGGCTGCTGCTTCTCTCCTCCCGTGGCCAAGCTCAAAGAGCAGCCACGCCAGGACCTACCGACAGCTTCTTTACTCAGCTTCTGGTCTGGGAGGTTCAGTGCCTTCTGGATGAAGGGAAAAACAATTACAGAGAAAGTCGCACTTAGCTGCTGCTGCCTGAGGTTAGACCCAAGATTGCTTGGAGCAACGGGGAGCTACAGAAAAATTCTGTCACTCTTGAGCACAGTAGGGCTTGGATAAACTTTATTTTAACTTGGAAATATTTGGACAAATTTTCACAGGCAGTGCAGCAGGCATATCTAAGGATGCAAAAGGTAACAAGTCTGCCAAATTTTAAGTCCTTCCAGACTTAAAATTCCAGAGTATGAAAGAACTAAAGCTTTCCAGCCAAACTGTTTAGAGAATTTAAGAGGAAAAAACCTTTTTTATTTTTATGATCTCCTTCTGAGAAATAGCTGAACAACTTTCACTTAAGTTTCCCAGAAGAATTCAGGCTGGAGCAGACAATCAGCACAGAAGATGTTAGCTGGAATAGTGAAGGTCTGGCAAAACAATGAGGTACTGCAAACAGGGCCTTGTAATTCACCAGAAAGATACCTGTGCCTCACCAAATAATGTAGGTATTTTCAGTGTAGGCAGTTGATTAACATTTTCTAAAAACATATCAATTTTATATGCAATATATTCCTCCATTTTGAATTTTTTTTCAGATTTTGTTGGCACTTGACTTGAATGTTTCATCACCAGATAATTTTCCTACTGATCTCTCTAAGCTGGGTCTTACAACACTTCTAAATCAAGCATATCATGCCATTGGACCCTGAAACTGGTAGAGAGAATCTAGAAAACATGCACAAGTCATAAATAGAGGAAACTGTCTTCTCTGCAAGTATCAGAAGACAAAAGGGCTAGGAAACAGTTCTGATATAATCATTTTAGTAGGTTGTTAATTTCTAAATATAAACCCTACAATTTGAATAGAAACATTATCTCTGTGCCTGGGGAGACCATGGAACAGATCCTCCTGGAAGCTATGCTAAGGCACATGGAGGACAGGGAGGTGATGCGAGACAGCCAGCATGGCTTCACCAAGGGCAAGTCCTGCCTGACCATCCTAGTGGCCTTCTGTGATGGAGTGACTACATCAGTGGACACAGGAAGGGC